CCAAAACCAAACCTGTCACAGTCTGGGCAAAATTTTCAAAGCAGGGGCAGAAAAGGAGCAAAACCTTCCAGGGGACCTGTGCTGGTGCCAYGTCCCCCTCCCTCCCCTCCTGTGGCTGTTGTGGTGTTGCATAAAGGGTTCATTGTGCACTGTGGTACCTGGGGAAGGACCCAGATAGTGAAAAGTGGGTGAAAAATGTCATTCCTGCATCTTTTCCTCTGGTTTTYCACCCAAAATTCCACCTGCTCCTCRAGGGATTGRTCTCCCTGCTGTGACCACCTTGATGGGACATCGGATGTCACCRGCAAGTGAGAGATGGAGAYGCYGGTCCATCSAAACCTTCCTGCWGTGAAACCTGCCTGGAAGARCCCAGCTTGCCCAGGTGRACCCTATTTTYCCAGCCCAGGAGGATCTGATCCCMTCTGYCCCTCCKGTGAGGGTTCCACCCACCAGCCTCRGTGGGAAGATCYKTGTGACCAAACCTTGGAGTGACCAGGAAGAGCAGGAAGCTGAGGARCAGACCAGGGTGAGGAGAAGGGGCTGCAGGAGCTTTACCTTCATCATTGATGTAGGCCTCGAAGTCAAACGTGCTGTTACTGGTGAAGTTCCCCGTGAAATTCCCAGTTAAGTCATCGGTGAAGTTGCCGGTGAAGCTGTCCATGAAGTCGTAGAAGGTGGAGTTGTCCCAGGTGTCATTGTCCAGCCCCAGGTCCTCCAGGAAGGTGCTGTTGGGTGGTGGCCACCGCACACACTTCTGGCGCAGGTTGCCCATGAAGAGCTGGAGGCCGATGAGGGCGAAGACGCTCAGGCAGAACACGGTGAGGATCATCACGTCCGAGAGCTTCTTCACCGACTGGATCAGGGCCCCCACGATGGTCTTCAGCCCTGGGGGAGCGGCACCTCTGAGCTGACCGCTCCTTTGGTTGTGGGGAGCAGGCTGGGGGGTCCCCAAAAGCTGCTGGGTGTGGGGGGGACGTGTGGCACCACCGAGTTCAGGCCCCCAGAACTTCTCAGGTCACGTCCCCGCTCTGTCCCCACACATGGCTGGGCCCCAAAACTGTCACCCTGCCAATCCTCCCAATCCCATGTGGATATCTCACCCAAAGCCCACCCCAGCCTGGCAGCCATGAACCCCTTCAGACTTCCTCTTTTCCCAGATTCCACAATCTGGCATTTTTTGTCCCAAACCTCTGGAGTGACCACTTTAGAGTGGAACATTGCTGGCCCAGCTGGGCAATGCTGAGCACCTCTCCCAGCTCCAGAAAAGCCTCCATGGTCCAGCCCCACACCTGCTGCTGTCCCTGGGTGKTTGGGACCTCAGCCAGGCCCTTCACCCTGATCCCTTCGAGCTGGAAAATCCCTGGTGTGCCCAAGTGARGGTGACAAAGTGATATTGGGATTATCTCATCTCTAACTCATCTCTTCCCCCCAGCACCGCTGTTCCCTCCCCGCAGCTCATCCACAGCTCCTCAGTGGGATTTCTCCATGGAAGATGGAGTTCCCATCTCCCAAGATCTACATGGATGATGCTGGGACATCCCAAAGCTGACCTTTAAAGCCTCCCCGRTCCCAGAGCTTTCTCATGTGGAGAAATCCCCAAAGGAAATGATTTTTAGCCRTGTCCTCCTGCCAGCTCCTCATTCCCCAAACTATTTAGGGGAAAATCCTGTTCTCCAAGGGCCTGACCAGGGTCAAATGTTCTAAACCAACTTATTTTTGCCACTGCTATTTCTGCAGAGCCCCTGGGAATCTTGTTCCAGAAAAAAACAGCGGTTTAGGTTTTGCTCAATGCAATTTTTAGCCTGTTTGATGGAGGCATAAAACATTCAAATGTGAACCCTTGCAATCTGGAGGCTACAGGGATTTATTCACCACAAAGAATTTTTGTTTTCAGTTCAACCTCATGATTGAATTTCTGAATCATGCTTCAGATTTCTGTGTGTTTGCATCAGGTGTGGAAAGCAGGTGTTGAAATGGCATAAAATTTGGAAATCAGCAATCAGAGGAATTTGATAAGGTTCTCCTTGCACCAGGCTGGATGTTTGGGGCAATGTTTAATCCCACYGAATATCTCAGCCCCAGCTCCAGAACAACAGGCACAGAATTGAGTCCGCCGCTCCAAAAATTGAGTGATTTGGTTGATCAAACCCAAAAAASCACTGGGAGCACAAATCCTCTTAAATAATCTCTGAGGAGCCCTAAAATCAGCACATCTGCCTCTTTGGGGGCTGCCAAACAACCTGGAGAGTGCAGCCAATTTCAAGATGCAAAATCAGCAGGACGTGACCCGAAAGCTGAATTTTGCAAAAAAATGATAATTTTCAAACCCCACAATTCCTCTGTTTTCCCTTAGAGCTGCCAAAAGAGCCAGGAACTGCTGGGAAGGGTGGGAATCCCTGAGCTCAGGGGAAGGCAGGGAGGGGAGGCCCCACCTGGTATCACCGTGATGGTCTTCAAGGCACGGAGGACACGGAAGGTCCTGAGAGCGGAGATATTCCCCAGGTCCACGAACTCAGTGATGTAGCTGTGGGACGGGAGAGGGAAAGGCTTTAGGGGCTCTGAGCACCCCTCGTTCCTCCAAATTCCCCTCCAGGTGCAGGTCCCAGGTCCCTCCCATCCTTCCCCTCCTGCTGGACTCACGCCATGGAGATGACCATGAAGTCCAGCCAGTTCCACGGGTCACGCAGGAATGTGAAGTCATCGATGCAGAACCCTCTAGACAGGATCTTGATGAGGGACTCGAAGGTGTAGATCCCAGTGAAGGCGTATCTGAAATGGGATTGGTCACTGKGGGGATGCTTGACCAGGTCCAAGGATGAGGCTTTGCTCACCCCTCCCATGGTGGATGTTTTGGGGGGCTGAGTTTTGGGGCTGATGGGTTTTTGGGGTTCTCCAGCACTGGGAGAGGTTTTCACCTCACCTCATAAGGTGGGTTGGGACATCTCGAGGTACCTTTGGTGACCATTCTGGASCTCTGTCCCTCTGATTTCCCACCACCCCCACGCTCTCAGTGAAGCCCTGCTGGGATCCCGTGTGGAACCACAGCAGGAAATGCAGGATCTCCCCTCTCCCCCGGGTTGTCCGTGCTCCCTGGACAGGTGGGTCAGCTCGGCCTCTCCAGGCTGTCACTGATGACCCAACCTTGTCCAGCCTGCCAGATTTTGGGCAGCTCTGAAACGCTCCCACTCTTTGCAATGCCCAGCATGGACATCCCTTCTGAGGACCACCAGCACCTCCAGGGACACCTCTCTGCTCTGCAGGGTGCCTGGATCCCCACCCCCTCTCTCAGCCTTGGTCCCATCCCTCCTGAGGGACATTTCCAGGCTGGGCTGTCCCCATGAGGTCTCAGGACTCACTCCACGTTCTTGGACCACGCTGGGGGGTTGCTCATCGTCATGAACACGCAGTTGGTTAAGATGGTGATCATGATGAACATGCTGAACAATTTAAACCCTGGTCAAGGAGAAACACTCTGGACGATGTCTGATCCCTCTTCCCACAGTTAGGAAGCCAAGTGTCCCTGCTCCTCCTGTCCTGGCTGCCCCCTTGGTCCCTCACCCCACCCTGTCCCTCCTGTCCTGGTTGTCACCTCGGTCCCTCTCTCACCCTGCCCTGCTCCTCCTGTCCTGGCTGTCAGTCCCTGCCCTGCCCTGCTCCTCCTGCCTCTCTCCTGTGCTCGCCCTTCCCTCTTTCCCTCTCTCCTCTCCTGAACAGTCCCAGCCCCTTCCCTTCCTTCCTTCCTCCTTTCCCAGCTCCATGGGGTTGGTTCTGCCTCCCTTTCATGCTCCCTCCTCTCCCTCACTTTGGGTTACAGCTTTTCCTTCCTTTCCACCTCTCCAGACCTCAAAAACCYTCAAGCTCTCCCTAGGAAGCTCCACTTCAGCTGAGACCCCTCTGCCACAAACCCTCCCTCTTTTCCTCCTCCCTCCAGGCCACTCACCAACCCCCAGGACCACCAAAACTCTCCTGGGATCACTTCCCACCCATCCTGCCGTGCTTTTAGGGTCCTTTCCTGCCTTTCCCTCTCTGTCCTGGTTCCTCAGTTTCCCTCTCCAAAAGCCTCCTTTGGCCTCTCCACCTTACCCACCTCCCACCTGGGACCGGATCTCCTGACCCATAAACATTTCCCTTCCTTTGAAAGTCCCTCCAGACCTCAAGGATCTTCAACCTCTTCCCAGGAAGCTCCACCACTGAGGCTTCATCCCTTCTCCATCCAAACTGATTCCTCCCTTCTCCAGCCCAGACCGAGCTCTTGGTGCCCCCAAGGTGCCCATCAAGCACCTTCTCCTCAGACTCAAGCATTGGACAGCAGGTCCTGGCCATGCTGGAGCCAGCCCAGGGGGTTTCCTCATCACAAAACCCTTCCCTTTCCCTCTCCTGGGCTGTTTGGACTCCAGGGTCTGGCCTGGCCCTGAAGCAGCATCCCAGAGATGAAGGATATGAATGGATGAGGACTTTGATGGCTCCTCGGCGGATGGGATGGAAGGGCCCCAGCATGTAGAGGGCAGGGGTGGCTGAGAAGCGGAAGATGGACTTTCCCTTGTTGAGGACGATGAAAGTCTGTGGAGAAAAGAGAGCAGGGAGTGGGTGAGTCCTGAACTGCCAAAACATCACAGAATCACAGAATCACAGAATCACAGGATCAATCACAGAGTCACAGAATCAATCACAGAGTCAATCACAGAATCAATCACAGAGTCACAGAATCAATCACAGAATCAATCACAGAATCAATCACAGA